CAAAGGGCACCAAAGAGTCTAACCACAAAAATAAAGTATTGGTACAAAAAAAGCCTCATACTATTGGATTTCAAGTGCCATGTTTTTTAAAATGAATTCTAAGAATTTGTTTTTTTGGTTCAGTTTTTTTTTTAATTTTTTTATTTCCTAGGGTCCTGCTTAGCTACAGATATGAGTGCTTTTTCTCTCCATACACTTGAAGTCACATCTTTGATAACTGCCACTGGGTCACTGAAAGCAGAGCAGAAAAGTGCCTTCTGTGATGGTTTGGTTGCCGGCTGGGGAGTTCCATAGCAGCTGTGATTTCAGTAAATGTTGAGATGTGCAGATGTGGTTGCGGTCTACTTTTTATGAGAGCTGCAGCACATTCCATCTGTCCTTATAAGATTTTTTTCCTTCACTAGCTGTCAGTCAATTAAATGTAATGGCTTCTCCCCACAAATATTCTTCATTGGTACTTCTCTGGAGTTCAAGTCAACAAGGAAAGAGCCTACTTTTCATAAAGGAATTTTTAAAGGAATTATGTGTTTGAGGGCACAATTATCATAATATATTCTATAGGCTTATCGTTAGCCTTCTAAAATAAAATCATTCTTGGTTTGCTAACTGAATTATTTTAGTCTTCCAAAATATTGTTCTTGAATAAATAATTTGAGAATATGTAGGAAATTTTTTTTTGTATTGGAGATTGAACTCAGAACCTCATACACTGTTCAGCTACCTTTCCAGGCAGTAAGACAGTTTTTTTTAACATACTTAAAAAGTATCATTTACTTATTTATTTGGTACAGGGTCTTGCTGTGCAGCTAAGACTTGTAGTGATCCTCCTGTCTCAGTCTCCCCAGCACTGGGATTACAGGCATGCACCACTATGCTGGGTTTTAGGGGCCTGCTCCATGCAGGGTGGGCACGGGAAGTGGTACTGGGGATCGAACCAGGTCCTTGCACATGCCTAAGCAGGTGTTGAGACCACCAAGCTATCCCCCTGGCCCTCAATTGTACTTTTGTAAGCTGTTCATTTTACTATAAAGAAGTTGAGACTACAAATAAGTGAGAAATGAGTTACAAATTCACAATGTATCTTATTATAATACTTTTCAAAAACTACTCACCAAAGCATGCCATTCCAGAATTATTAAATCAGAAGCTCAAAGTAGTTCCTTATTCATGTCAAGGGCAAACATTATTTCTCTGCTAGAGTCACAATCAGTAGTTTCCCTCTTGCTGTCTCCTATTTCATTCATACTTTAACAAGCTGTAGCATGACGCAAAGCAACCTCCACATTCCCAGTGCCATATTTTCCAAATAATATTTACTTTCTTTTTCCAAAACTGACTTTTCTACATAATCCTTCTCATTTTTGTGAGTAATGTCATTGTTATTTTGGTTCTCTGGACTTAAAAATATTCTTCTCCTTTACCCTTCATTATTCCCTCCTTCATAGCTAAAAAATATAATTAGACCCAAGACCCAGAGTGTTTTGGGTCTGTCCCTGCCTCTCTAATCTCCTGCTGCCCATTACAGTAAAGTCCTAGATTACCTCATAAAACACCCACGTGAGCTTACGAAGTTGTTGGTTGAATAGACAAGGAATTGCATTGAAAAGACATAGCATGACTCCTTTGCTCAAATATCTATCATTGAATCTGGCCCCACTTATTGTTACCTGTTGTACTGTACACATTTTAATATGAGCCCTTCCCTTCAACTCACGTTGAGACTCTCAGAACTATCTTTTCGCTTCTCTCCCTTGAAGTGACCTCCCTGCCGTGAGTCTTATTTCTGACCCAACTGTCCTGATTTGCTTAGCACTATCCTGTTTTCTTTGAAAGCTCTATGATTTTATAAAACACTCAGTCCTGGCAAAAGGAACCTGCTATTTAAAGAAAATTACATTTCAGAGAACTGGTTTCTTAACTGTAGCTTCACATCTTCAGCTTCTACTTTATTTATTAAAGATCCAGGAGAGAGTAATTTAAGATTAGGTGCAAGAGCCAGTCCTTGAATGTGCCCTGCAGCTCACGTAGGGCTTGAACTTGCAGTCTTCCTGCCTCCTCTCCCAAAGTAGGTGGAATCACCAGCGTACCCCACCAGTCCAGCTTGGTGGTGTTTTCAAGAAAAACATAAAGGTTAAATCAGGCTCTTGGTATTTTCTGTATTTCTCTAATAACTGAAAACTTGCTGTTAGTAAATAAACTTAATAAGAAAAAAAATTACGTGCTAGAAATATGCCTCTGTTCCCTTGTGTACATGCTTTCTCACCTACTTCCTCTTTCTACATTCTAGTCTCTTCCTTCCTATGAAAGGAGTGGAAGAAGGAGATTGCAAAGACATGTGCTCAACTGAAGAGGCTATGTTGCGTGGACTAATTAGATGGGACTAAGTTGTGCAGTCACTCACCAGTTATATGATGCTTGGGAATTTTCTAGCCATGTTGAGGGTCATATGTTCAATATATTTGATTGTGTAATTGTAACTGTAGTAGTAAAATCTACATAGCAGGATTGTAGTGAGGACTCAAGGCAGGGATACCTAGATGTTACTCCCATGATCCTAGGCACAGTTATAACTGTTATTAAGCTGTATTATAAAAATGAGATCAAATTTGGGAAAACTGAGGATTGTGACTTGTCAAATTGTGCTTGTAACTGTATTCACACATGACACGATGATATCCTGTGTGGTATGCTTGTTCACCAGGGCTTTGAAAAAGCATGCAATGTAGAATTTAATAGGCTTTCCAGCCTTTTCATCTCCATTCTTTAACCTTTCTCCTTGTTTATTTTTTTTTTTTTTTTTTTTTTTTTTTTTTTTATGGCTTTCCTCTCATAGATCTGGTATTTTTATTTTGTTTTGGTTTCAGTTTGAGGACTGCAATATTTTACTACTCATATATATTTCTCCTACGTAGAAGTAAATCAGATTGTGTTTTTGAGCATGTTTGTATAGCAATATGCCGGAAGTAGAAAAAGGGTTAAGATAAAGTGTATACAGAAACTTTTTCTGTTCTGTAAGGGAAATACTATTTAAAAAGTGGAACCTTAATATGTGTATATAATGTGTAGCTTATATATATATATAGCCATATATATGTATGTGTGTGTAATTTATATGTATAATATATAAATTTCTAACTGCTACATAAATTTTAGCCAAGCACTAAATTCTGTGGATTTGTTTTTCATTTTTTGTTCACAATTTACCCACTTAACTTCTAAATTCATGAAATATGTTAAGTCCATTTTTAAAAATAATTTTTATTGAGAAACAATAGCAAAGAGACAGTTTCAAAACCAAGTAGTAGGACAGTTTCAATAATTAATACATTGTATATTGCTGTCTTAGTAGTTATTATTTATACAAGATGCAAGCATGATATCCTGTTCGCAAACAGTATTAGAACAAATCTTTCTATTCATTGAATTAAGAGAAAGTAGCTGTATATCTATCCTAACTATTTTGAATATACAGATACAAAATGGTCATTCATTTGTATCCCTTTTTTTGTTTAGTTTTGTCAGAGAAGGCTATTCTATTGTCATTTAAATATATCTTTTCATGCAGCTAAACATATTAAGATGACTTATGATCTTTTCTTTTTTTGTATTTTAGGGAAGGGTCTCTCTACTAGATCAGACTCGTAGTGATCTGCCTGTTTACAGCCTCCCAAGAGCTGGAATTACAGGTGCACGACACCATGCCCAGTCTCAATTGCTGTCTCAGGGTACCCCAGGGGTAGGGCTGGCAGCCCACCCAGGGATCAAACCCCTGGCCCCTGCGCCCATAATCCGTTAAGCTATTTGGTATGATCATTTAAAATTAAAGGAGTACTTTTGTACAATGGAGCATTTTTCAGATGTAAAAAAGATAACAATGAGGCCATGGTAGATAAATGGGTGCAGCTAGAGATTATATTGGTAAGTGAAATAGATCAGACCCACATGTGTAAATATCGTATTACCTCACTAGTGTGAGAACCTGAAAGAGTAATGAAAATCTAAAAGGGACAATAGATACTGTGAAGGGGAAATAATTTATTCAGTGGGAAGGAAAACCTAGGATGAGGAAAAGCACAAAAGAAAGAACGGACAAAGATATTTATGTGTATATGCAGTATAATTTGGATAAATGTACTGCTGATTTCTGTTGTTTTTTGCAAAAAGCAGCTAATGCTTAATTTCTTTCCTCTGATTTATTTTCCTCTTTTGAATTTCTTATAACGCCATTTTTTTTCTTTAAATGAATCTTACATGTTTATATCTGGTAATCTGAACAACTAATTTGAAGATAGCATCATGTACCAGCAACCATTGTGGAATTTCTATTACTTTGTTTAGTGAAATCTTGCATTGTATCATTTCTAATGCTTTCTTTTCTTTTCTTTCTTTGTTTCTTTCTTTTTTTTTTTTTTTAGATTTCTTTTTTAAAAATGTATTTAGTACAGGGTCTACAGGGTTTCACTACACAGATCAGACTAGAGGTGATTCTCTTGCTTTCAGCCTCCCAAGCACTGGGATTACAGGCATGCATCACCATACCCAGTCTCATTTGCAGTCTTAGTGTGCCCCAGGGACGGGGTCAGCATGGCATACCTGGGATCAAACCCAGGTCTCATTATCTGCCTAAGCAGGTGCTTTAGACCACTGAGCGGTCTGGCCATCCTTCTAATGCTTTATGTTTTATTTTTTATTTTTTAATTTTTTTCGGCAGAACTGGGGATTGAACTCAGGCCCTTGTGTTTGGCAGGCAAGCGCTTATTCTACTAAGCCATCTCCCTGGCCCCTAATGCTTTATTTTGTATCACTATTTTGTATTCTTTAAATACAAAAAAGATAAAAAATAAATGATTAAAGCATTAGAGTTTCAAAAACTTCCAAAGCTACAATTATTATTGTTATTATTATTACTACTAATTTTTGTAAGATAATGTTTCTTTGTCCATACAGTTATGCTTGGTAAATAATATGATGTCTTCCAAAGAATTCTTATTTTTAAACAGGTGATCAAGTGGTCTGGATTGGATACTATGGCTTAGTGTATAACCTGGTGAAAATGTCATGGGAACTTCAGGGTGATCTGGAGGAGGATGGACTTGGAAATATGATTTGGCAAACGTTACAAAAAACGAAGGATTATGAGAAAGATGCACGGATCCTAAATGCCATTACTATAGCCCAGGTAGGATGAAAAGCATCTGCTCAATGAATTGGTGCTTATATCAGGAGTCATGCTTGTCAATGTCTGGAAAAGAGGAGTGTTCTTGTTCAGATTTAAAGACCCAACATTGAAAATACTATTGTTAAAATTAATACTGACCTACTTTTTAAAAAAGAGATAAACAGAGTAATCTTTAATCTGGGCAGAAAACAGATCTCCAAAAATTTAACAGAAACAATAAATTTAATAAATCTAGGAATACACCCCATCAAGTAACAGTTTGAATATAGAACTCCAAGTAGCACCCTAGATTGGAGTATGATGACAAGCCCTCATTCTTTTTATCTTTTAGAAAATTCTGGGAGAAATCTTGGAAAGTAAAGAAACTTATAATGAGCACAACCCATACCTTCGACTTGAGGTCATAGCTAGGCTGGAAAGTTGAAGGGATGTGCAGAGCTAGCAGCACCTTGCTACTAACATCTGTCAAAAGACTACGACTGAGGCTAAGATGCACAACACATGGTTAAGGGGCTTTGCTATAGTGGATTGTCTTATGATGTGAGGAATCTAGAGATCTGTGTTCCCTTGAGTGTTTCCTCCTTTTCCAAGTTCAGTGGCAGAAAGACCAGGGAAGCTAATTAGCCACAGCACAACACTGCAATAGAAAGAGGTGAAAAGTGACTTTCACATCAATGATTTCAACATCAAAATAAATAGGTAAAGGTAAAAGTTGCTTTAGCGATTTGCCCCCTTAGTTTCCAGACTCTCCTCTTCTCAGCCTATCTGATAATTGAATTTGCAAACAGAACATGAGTAAGCATTCAAAATTATACTTAAAATTATTCAAGAATTATAATTTAAAAGCTTAAATTTACCAAGTAGGAGGACTCAACATTATTCTAGTTTTGTAATATGGTAATGACATATTAAATAAATTTGTCATTTAAAGATATAACCAGAAGAATCATTTGCTTTTAAATTTATTTTTGTCTGATATATACAATAAAATATTTTGCATATTAATGAGGAAGATACCATGTTTCAACACATGTATTCTTTGTGTGATGTGATGTTTAAATTAGGTAAACAGTATCTATCTTTTCAAAGATATCTATCATTTCTTTATGAGGCAACCATTGAAAATCCTTTCTTCTAGCTTTATGAAGTGTGCGGTAATTATTGTCATTTATAGTCATTCTACTGTGCAACAGCAGCCCAGCAGTTCTTACATCCAGTATGTAATTAGAACTTGGTATCCAAACTATTGACATCTTTGCTCCACCCCAGCATGAGTTTTATTCAGTGCAAAATTCCAATACATGCTAGTACATATTGGAGAGGTACAATATTTGTGTTTGATTATGTCTAGGATTATACAAAATATTTTAAAAATCAATTATGAAATTATCTTGACTATTTAAAAACATTCAAAGTAACAAAACAAGAAATAAAATTTGGAAATTAAGACGTGCCTTGATAAATGAGTATTCGTAACAGGAAGAAATTAATTAGCCCATTTGTAAGGCTTAGTCTTCTTCTTTTGCAGAGATGAATGCTTGGGCACACTTGCTCTACCCATAGCCAGGCATAGTTACTAAAGGTCACATAGGAGACAGAGAAGACTGACAATGGTGAGGGAACCTAGGTCCAGGTTGCCTCCACTCAAAATGTCACCTGCACTATGCAGCAGCTATGTGACCTTGGGTATATTTTTCCTCCAGTTTCCTCCACTGGAAATGAAATTAACAACAGTATGTAATGTGGAGCCATGCAATGTAGAAGTGAGTTAATATTATGAAGCACTTAACATTTTTGCAAAAGAATTAAAAAAGTCATGGTGATAAAAGTTGTACTCTGAAGTACATTACTTCTTAATGTTTCTAAAAGTTATGACTTAGTGTTATGCTGCTATAATGAAACTAAGGCATGTAGGAAAATTTGCTTTTAATCAAAAAGTACCAACAAAAAAAATAAATAAATAAATTTTAAAAAAAGTACCAACAGACAATGTTGATGAATTTTAGATAAACAAAGTAAAATAAAACTGCAAAATGCATTGAGGAATTAATAAATAAGTAGGTTACTAAGTAAACTGGTGAAATTCATTGTTTTTTTGTGCTGATTTCTCTCTAGTATTGCTAACTGTGTTATTTGCAACTCTTGAAATGAGTAGACAGCAGGCTTGAGAAAAGTTTACTACATTCATGGGGTAAACATGAGGCGAGTTCTCCTAATAATTTTATTCATCTGTTTCCAAATAGTTGAGGGGAAACTTCATTTATATGGGTATGGCTTTTATAGTGTTGAAAGTCTTAGATTTGGGTATAAAAATTACTGGAATTCTGTATGTAATAATTCTCATAGCCCTTTAAATTTCTATCTTTGGGCTCTGAGGATAAGCAGCCTTGCTGAGGCCTGGTAGTGCTGTGCCTGGCTCTGCCCTGACTGTGGAGCTAGGAGGAGGAGTTGGCTTTTGGGTGCAGTGCTTATTCTGCTATGGTCTTGTACTTTTTGCAAATATTTTTAAGTATGCTGAGCACATATTTGAATTAGCTCAGGTTAACATGTTTGCTGTTGTTGTTTTACAGCCTCCTTATTGGTAGTGAATTAATTCACTTACAAAAATGTCTTAATTTGTATAATAGATTAGTTATCTACCTTGTTTTATTGTCTACTTTTTTTTTTTTTTTTTTACATGGGACCATATAAGTTGCCAATCCGATCTTATAGACACTAAAGTCCTTTACCTTAAAGTTAAAAATACATTTTATTTCTGCTTGGCTGCTTGATTTTTTTAATTGTTATATAGTCATTATAAATTAGCTATTCATAAAATGCAAGTATGACTTTTAATGATAATTAATCCATATGACATTGTCAGCATTTCTATTCTTTTTCTCATTTTAAGGCAGGTTAATTTGTTGCAATTCTAAAATACACTTTTTCTGTCATTGAAAGTTCTGGTTCTTTCTAACTTTCACAGATGCAATATGTAAATTTTCTTAATGGCCCATTTTCTAAGAATATATGCAAATTTTTAGCCAATTTCTAATAGATATACATGACATGTATTCATTTCTTCCAACCTTATTAGTTTCTCTGTTGTTGTTTCTATGATTCACTCATCTATATTCTTATCCTATCTTACATCTATTGTATATGACACCTCAAATCTCTAATGGATTATACTGGCATGAAAGCAAATTCAAATTTGTTACATCTATAATTAGAATTCTATTTATATGCCAGTATTCAGGACTAATCATTTGGTATAAGATGTTCTTCTTCCCTCAAAATTTTAGTGAATATCTATAGATAATTACATTTAAAATTCATAAGTCAATCAGACATAGCAAATATGTTTTAGATATTAAATGTAAGCAGAAATTTCATTAGTTAGGCAGTCAGCACTGAGACTAAAGGAATCAATAAAAGCATAACCACCATTACATGTGCTAATTTGTTTTTTAATGCTTAGTTAGAAGACTTATAAAGACAGTTTTCATTGATTTTAAATAGAAAGTGAGTGAAGAAGGCAAATTATTCTCAGAGAAAAAAAAATCTAAGCCATTACATTGATTTAGGCATAGTATGTATTTAATAAGAGAAATAAGCTTACTTTGCACTAAATAGACTGAAAGGCAATGAATATTAGACCTATTTTATTTAACTATTAGCTAGAAGTAGAGCCATTCAGATTATTAGACAACAGAAAACATGATTTATTGTTGCAAATGATAAAATATCAATGGGGGCATTGACATAATTCTTGACTCATTTGACATTTAATTTAGTTTGACTTTCCTTACAGTGAGGAGACTAAAATGAATTGCTTTATATAAAAGTTTCTACCAAAATAGTAAAACAACATTAAATTAACATCTACTTGTTGGGTGCTGACCAAGTATAATCACCCTTGTTTAATTCTATGTAAGATTGAAAGAAGTTTTTTACATTATTGAGATGCAGATTCTTGTCATCTTTCAGTACATACTTTTCAGGCTGGAAACTTAAATTATAAATTCAATTCAGAGTTCAAGGTGAGAAGATAAAAGGGAACATCTTTTGCAAAAGGGAATGTCATGATGCAAACATAAATAAGAACAGTATATAAAAGAAAATCATAGATTGACTTGCCTACTTGGGGAATAGTTTGATCAACAGTGGATATTGAATTTGAAATACATTATATTTTGGAGTACCAAAATAAGATGGTAGAGTTTCATAAACATATAAATGCTTACATGAAACAATTAGTGTTGGAGGGCCAGGGATATAGCCCAGTGTCACAGCACCTGTCTGGCCAGCATGAGGTC